ACGTAACAACTCTGCCAGTATTCGAGTCTGGAATCTTCTGACGTATCAGTCAATCACTTTCGAACAAATTAGTCACTGTTGTCCAGATTTATTAAGTAGAGTGCAGTTCAGCCACAGAGAAATCATAATAGGAAGTTGTTTTGGATTCCAAAACATCGTACTAATCTCAGAATCAAATTGCACTGTTACCTCTCTCGGATATACATTTTATATGCAATATTACAATTTAGCGGATTTCGCAACTATGTCTTTGAACTTACTTAAAAGACTTGTATTGCATTACACATTCTCTTTTCTCTCTTAATAAGTATTTTTATAGAATGTTAACATTATGTAAAAAAACAAGTATTGTGCATGCGCTGTTCTCCTCTAAGTAATGGGGCTATTGTATTTATGTTTTGCATAATTATCTTATTGTAATGTATATTGTACTCATTGTTGGAGAACCTAATAAAAATAAAACGAATGCGGTTACAAGCCTGGATTTATATTGTGTGGAATTATTCTAAGTACATTTATTAACTCACTACGCCACAGGTTTCCCAGATCAAACATCTTGGCCAACCTCAAGGACGAAATACATATAGAAAGGGAACAGAGGACGCTGGCGGTCAGATGTAATACGTTATAGTAGCAAAAATCACGCTCTTCAAGGCCTATTGCCAGGTATGCTACACGTGCAACCTATGGTGTAATTTCACGCAAAAGGCCGTTAGCGCCTTTCGCGTTTTATACGATAACGGCTTCAGAATGTTGATGGGGCTGCCTCGTTTCTCCAGCGCATCTCTAATGTACTGATGACTATTACGCCATTATGTGCAAAAAGACGGCTTCGCTGCTCTGTAGACTGCAGGACAGCACCAACTCAATCCTGAAGACCGTGGCGGGGAGGCACGATTCCCCTTTAGCACCACTTCCTTTAGATGCTTTAAGAAGCAAGTAAAAAAAAACATTAGTTTTTTGTTTTGGTGCTTGTCAGCAAAAGTTATCTTCCGGAGGAAGTGGCGCATAAAGGGGGAATCGTACTTTCCCGCCACGGTCTTCAGGATGGAGTTGGCACTACTCCGCATTCTACAAAGCAACAACTTCATGCAGTCGAGGTCTCGGTTGCATGAAGTTGATTACGACTTCACGCATTAAATCGTGCAGTAAATCTGTTAGCAGCCTAAATGAAAATGAATAGATACGATACGGTAGCTGCAGGAATTCTCGAGACTGCACGAACACTACGGAAGCCGCGCGATCTGTTTTTGGCGCGTATCTAGTTTCAACGTTACACAATTGACATAAAGTTTATTACGCTATGGTTACAAAAATTCGAAAAAATGTAAATTGAGCCATAGTGGATAGACACGGTACGAAATGTATTTTTTCAATGTAATTTGAACCAATATACGTAGTTAGCTAATTAAAGATAGCAGCAAACAATTTGACAAATGAGAACAAAACACTATCGTATCGCTATGCGATAGATAATATATAATTATCTAGAATCAGTGGGTAGTAAATATTAATAATTACGCCAAGGTCCAGTGTGATGCAGAGGATTGTGACGGTCATTTGAATAAATGAATTTAAATGAGTATAATTTACAACACTAGTGTTGTAAAAAACTCGAGTCCGTGAGTCTACATTTAAGAACTCGACTCAATTCACAAGACTTGACTCATAAAGACAGAGACTCGACTGCTCGATGTATTACGAGCCTATCGAGTTTCCGAATAGACTCGAGTTCGACATTAGCGCTTGAGCCTATTTCTTTGTATGTGTAAAAGTACCTACTGAGTGGTGTTGTGATGAGTTAAACTAGTAAATAATAAAAATGCCATGCTTATGTAATCAAAATGTCTGTATTTTTCTAAAATAATAAAAAATAATATTCTTAAAAAAAGTTTTGTAGACGTTTGTTTGTATGACTCGTTCGACATTAACGTTTGAACGAAGAATGTAATTGATTAATTAAAGTAAATCACATATTGTTTTTCGTAGTTTGTTTAATTTAAAATAAAATTTATAGGACGCATTATCGTATTTGTATATCTTACACATACTCAATTACTACAGTAACAAAATAGTTATAGAATAATACTAAGAAATTCTAAATGAAGTAAGCATTTTATGTCGCTTTCCTTTGAACGTTCATCCCTGCTCGTCGTACTCGAGACTTTCTTGAGAAGGAGTCGCTTCGAGTCGAATTGTCGAACTCGACTTTTGTTTACGTTTCGTTTTTTTTTTGTTTTACTTGAGTTAGGTTTACGACTCGAGTTCTTTTTAGACTCGAGTCGTGCTCTGATAACTCGCGCTCGACTCGACTCGGACTCATGAGTGTTTTAGGCCACCGAGTCGTTCAAAATTGAGTCGAGTTTATAAATGTAAACTCCCGGACTCGAGTTTTTTACAACACTAAGTATAACACATACAAATTTATTATTTACTTCCTTGCAGGCAATTTGGTGGACAATAACTGAAATCTGTACTCAGCGGGAATTTTTTTATGATAGATAGCAACGGGTTGAACAAGTCGTGCAACTTGTGATAAGCGACAAGTGTATCCACGATAGTTACAGCGCGACTCAAGAGTTTTAAATTACAAAGATTTAAAAGAAAGAAAGAAAGGGCCACTGACACTGCGCTCTTCACCCTGGGACAAGTTGACAAGTCCCATTTGCTTCACCTTCACCTTTATGGAATTCATTTATACATCTTTGTTATTTTGATTTAACTTAAAGCCAACTGCACACCAGCAGTACTGGCAGTTATAATGCTGTAGCAATACAATGGATATGCAGTTGTGCTGACTGCATCCAAATTAATTATCAAATGCATTCCACACATTATTTTGCAATTGCAATGCTGCCAAAGTGCTGCTTTTTTTTATAATATAAAGCATGCCAGAAATTTCACGAGCACCCATACCCTTGTAAACCAGTCACATTACTGCTTGGCGGCAGTAATAGGTAAAGTGGCAGTACCCTGTTACTGGACGAACTCTTTCACAAGGAACTCTACTGCCACTAAACTGCTACTATTACTGCTGCTACTAGCTAGTATGTTCTTATCCTTTTTTAAAAGGTCCCAGAACCCTTGTTACACTATAAATCTCACTCAATAATGGACAAATTCTTATATATAACTTATTTAACTCTGTCTTCAAATATAAGCTATCATCAGAGTATTGCAACTTATCACACAGATAAGTAAATAATATATTTAAAGATAAGATGTTATCAAATGCGCCGCCTAGAAAATGTAATTTATGCCTAAGTTTACAAAGTCAACACATATAGTCCTTGAAACAAGTTTGGTTCACCTTTAACAATAATATAATTTAGAAATTCTGAATTGAACATTGTATGACTACTATTACAATATTATTATTATTAGGGTGGCTTCATTCAGGGCCTATGCATCTTCTCATCGCTGCGACCATTGACTGATCTATTGTGATCACCACTAATTAAAGTTCAGAGCTAAGGCCGACAGCATTGAAAAACTGAAGGACTTGCCTCGCTCTGACAGATTTAATGTCCTCTGGTTGTGGCACGTCTCTTCTCAGTATGGAACTTCGAACACCCATCAGGGGGTAGCGTTGGGTGAGTACATGAACCGGAGTTTCATCCGCCTTGTGGCAGACTCTACATTCTCTATTCGCTCTCTGCCCAATGTTTGACATGTGCTTGTTCAAGCCACAATGCCCTATTAAGACTCTAGTAATTATTCTTATGCCGTTCCTGTCTGATGACGGCACTTCTCTCGGGGCAGATATCAGGGCTTTTGAATGCTCAAGACCCTAGCTCTGTAGCCACACTTCTCAGGAGAGATGTGTGCTCTCCTACATACATACCAATATCCATTAATGTTAAAGGAAGCAATAATGTCCCACTTTTCGGAGACCTTGGTGACCTTTACTTTTTGTTGATTTGCACTATGGGTGCTGGAAGAGGAGGTCCCATGTTTGATTCTCTGTAGGATCGATTTGTGAAATGGACTTTTCTAAATTGGTTCTGGTCTAGATGTAGAGCGAATTCTGGTGCTCAGGTACTCATAATAAAAGGAATTTGCTAGTTTGAGATCTGGCAATGGGTGTACTTGTCTGGCAAATTGTGACAGGCGTGAGAGCTACGAAAAGCAATAGGGACAATTTATGGGCTCTTGAAAAATAATTTAATCATCATCATGTAACAATCGTGAAAACCTAAGAACTCAATATTAATCATCATCATTCACAAACTTAATTTACCCGCTTGAGCGTACAAGCCTCCCATAATTTAACATATTGTATAAATTTGTCAGTGTTTTGAAGAAAATGCGAAGCGCCATTTTGAAAAAGAAAATTGAAGGGTAACATGTTTTAGGTTTTAATGACTTTTTTAAAATATTTATGTCCTGTTTTAAAATTTAATATTGCTTTTAATACAGTTTAAGTTTTAAAAGTAACTTTAAAACGTGACGCAAATATTTTCAAACAGTTGTAAAAAACTAAAACATTATCCCCTGATTTTTTTTTTGAAATGGCACTTTCTCCCTTTCTACAAAACACTGACAAATTTTGATATTACTTGAAATTAACAAGCTAACTTTATTTATGTGTTTTTATCACTAAAGAGTCATAAATAAAAAGGTAGCCTTTGATTCCTAATGATTATAATTATGTTTTCAACTAATACAATTTTATCAAATATGCTAAAAAGATAAAAGTGTTTAATGAAATAATTTATTGTTACTTAGCAACAATAAAATACTATAGGAAGGACTTAAAGAACACTTTTCATATAATATAAGTGAAGAAAACAAAAAAATAATAATTTGATTTAAATTAAATAAAATTTTAGTAAAACTACATAGAAGTATAGAAAAAAATATACAGTAAGAGATAAGAAACATAGCAAACATGCAAACAAACAATTACCTACATTTTTTGCTATCATTATGCTGTTGTTTATCACAGTTTTCCTCAAGTAGGTATGAAACGGATGTTTGAAAAACACGAAATCGCTTACCTCAGATAATAGGGGAGCTCTGTCTAAATGTTCTGAAGATGCAAAAGCGGACTCGAAGTAGACCCCTCGGGCCCTCGTCTCGTACCTGGACCCTCCATCCTCCCACATTCTCGCTTCAGGCTCGTCAGACATTCTGGCGCCTGGTCCCCGCAAAAAACTACTCAACACTTCACTGCACACATATCATTAAATAACTGCGACAACTTTTGTAAACTAACATTTAAAGCAATCCTTATTTATTAGGTAACTAATACAAATTCATATACTTTATTAGTCTACTTAAAATAATGATAAAATCGAAATAAATCTGAGAGCAAATCAACTTCAAAACACGCGTTCTCCCGACGACGGAAAGATGCGAAGTGAAAGGTGCGTTTCAGAACATCAGGACTGGACGTAACTATTCATTACACTAGAACGATGAAACAATCGGCAACATTGACGGATAAAAAAATAGTTTGGCGTTATCTTTGTTCTACAGAGATTTTCAGCTAAATTATACTGAAGACTACAAAAGTAGTGGACTATATGATTGTATGATTGATAAATATTTCCTAGTTTTTAAACTTCCTAGTTTTTTCTTTAATAGCTAACTCACTTTAAACGATAAACTCATCACATAAAAAACAAAACATTAGCAAATCTCACGTCAATTATAAAAATATAAAAAATAATTTAAAATGCAAAAGAGTTTGCAACAAGATTCAAAGCATTATATCATTGTATAGCTAAAGAATAAGACAACAATCGAGTAAATTAGTTAATTTAACAATGATCTGAAGTAAAATTGCTTTAGATTTCAGAACGCCTAACATTTGACAGATCGATAATGGATGCGTTCAGTTGCATTCACTTTATGATAATGTTACATTGTTGAACGATGCATACTGCATGTCAAAGTCAGATTTTTGACGTAATTGATATTCATTCTCACAGGACATTGGCGCAATCGCCATTTTTTTTGTATAATTTTTATAATAATATTAAACTACCGTACATAGTTATTTTTACTTGACATTGGCAAAATCATTGATTATTTCGATGGAGCCATAACATTTAACAGAAGCAGAGAAACCTCGGTCGTTTTCAACCGTAGAGAGAGAAATCTATGTTTACTTACAACCTTTCCATCCCTAAGTTTTCAACGCAACAAAATGTATAGAAAATGAAAAAATTGCATTAATTTTAGGTTCTTTTACAAGTCTCACAATAAAAATGTTCGTTTTGTATAGCTTGAGAAGACTTAAACTTAATTAGAAAACTAACTTTATTTTTAATAGGTACTTAATTTTTTTGGCTGACGAGATGAAAGAAACGCGGTAAGTATTATATCAAACGTAAACAATTTGCTTCGTCTTTCAAATCTGAAATCCTCTAATAAAACATATTTTCCGCATTTCCTCCTATTGCCTTAGTGCAATAGTCTTTACGAAATAACGCAGTATGTATTTCAAATAAATATTGTTTTTAACAAGTAATTAAAGCGTATACTGTTTGTAATTTGAGATATGCAGTTGTGTCAACAATTTTTGAAAATTTGACATAGGTGAATTTTGTTATTTCAGTAAAAACTGACGAGTAAACAAATATGAAACAATTCGAGCTGCTCATGAGTACGATTGGTCTCACATGATTTACTAAATAATGAAACCCGAAGCATTTAGGTGAGTACTTACATATAGTAGTGATTTTATAGCTATTTAAACCATTTATTTTCACACACATAATAATAATAATAAAAAAAAAACTTTATAAGTAATAATAATAATAATTTACAGAAATGGGGATAAACAATGTATAATTACGCAATTTACTGAATTAATGAATTATTTAAAAAAAAAAATAATGTAAAATAAAAAAATAATTAAAATATGTGTGTGACGGACACGAGCTCAGGGAAATGCTGAAATCACTTTGTAGTGATTTCAGCCCTGATTTTCAGCTCGACCCGACCATGGCAGCTCTACGTTGTCGATCACACACACAAATCGCAAACAAACATCAAATATTATTTATCTAATAATAATAATAACAATAATAATAATAAAATTAAATAATAATAACAATGACAATAAACCAATAATAATATTAACAAATCTAAAATTATGAATTATCTTAAATAATTTCGAATATCTTAAACAATTTTAAATAATTTCGAATCTGTTTATTGCCCGTGGTCCAACTGTGTAGTCTAACTAGTTGGACCAAGGCCGATAAACTTTGCCCTTGGTCCAACTAGTTGGACTACGGGCTCTATTATTTATTTATTTATTCTTTCTGCACAATACATTAATGTACAAATGGCGGACTTAATGCCATAAGGCATTCTCTGCCAGTCAACCATTGGGCCAAATAGAAAACAAAACCAAATGGTTGGTGCTACACTACACAAAAATAAAATATATCATAAGCCTAAATTTTATGGTTAATTTATACAGTATAAAATAAACATAATATAGCACAAATATACTCAATATAAGTATATATATATTAATTAAAGTATAAGTATATGTATATTGTTTATTATATAAGTATATAATAAACAGTACATATTTATATTGTAAGGGCATTGGACCTACTGATTGGTTAGTCCAGTCACCGTCAATATTAATAATTTTACTAGTTCTGAGCTAACTACAATTATATGTTCTCGAGGATGATCCCTGTGACAGTTCATAAAAATTCGCAAGATATAATCTTGTAATAACATGCACTGTAGATAATGTATTTTATGAATTATTTTTGTAAGTATCGCTTTTAACTGAAAATATTATATAGTGCGTGCAGTCACAGAAGAGTGCCATAGCTGGCTTTAAAACCCAACGTCATATCTGCTTTAGAATGGTGACTGATCAGGCTAGCAAACTGTTAGATGTGTTATATTTTTTATATTATTTGTTTTGCTATAAATGGATTTGCATATTGAACTTTGTTTGTCCATTTGTTTAGGTACTTAATTAAATATAAATAGTCTTGAGCTGTCCATTCAAGGAAATATAAATTTATAAAATGATATTTAATCTTCAAATACAAAATGAAAATACTTAGTTTCATATGAAATTGCATGCCTATGTTTATACCTATTGATTTGTAAATGTCTACAAATATATAAACATATACTGTTTCAATAAAAAGATGTATCAAAATTGTTTACATTTAGTTAAGTACATGAACAAATGGATTATAGATTTCTAGAATCAGTTCTTGGAGAATCAGATTAGAGATTATTTCTTACAAATGTAACAGCTTTTTGAATGAATAAAGAGGAGAGGGTTAGTAATTCGAGGTTTAGGAAATGCGGCTTGGAGCTGTTAGAGTGTGGGATATTTGCAACTTGAAAACATGATTTTTTAAACTTCTGCTCGTTCACTTGCCGACTTCCCTGAAAAGAACAAGCTAGACCAAGAGTTTCAAATAAATTCTATCTACCTATAATCTATATATAAATTCTATTCTTTTCAAATAAATTTATATGGCATACACCGATTCGAATTTATGTGGAATGGAGAGCCATCAACACCAGACATTTCTATGTAAATAATATATAATATATATAACAATAATAATAATAATATATATAACAGGAGATGAACTTTGTACAACAAATTATATTTACATCACATAGGTTTGTTTGAAAAAACAAATATACGCGATTTAAATCCGGAAAAATAGTTTCATTTCCTATATATTTTCATCATTATTTTCTGTATAATGGTATCGTGGTTGTGTAGGATTTGAAGCGTGTGAGGTAGATATGGAGAAATTCATAGTCCGCTGACATGTTCACTACGGTACATGGGAGAGAACAGAGAATTTCATTGAGAAATCTGTAACAATAACCGAATGAAACTGATTTTCCGTCTAAGGTGAATGTTGTAAAAAACGAAAAATTTGCAGAACTTTGTGATTTATATTGAGCATAGTTTAGTAAATCTTTCTTCGAACCCTCTTATGTCATGAATGGTATCTTCTGTTTTCATTATCAATTAAAAGGAACACGTACAATTCGTAATCTTAAAAACAATAATTATTAATGGTTGTAAATGCAAATTTTGGCGAATTAAATTTTTTAAATATATCAACAATAATTTCATAATAGTTTACACTTTTTATTCTATGTATTCATTCTGAGCACATATTCTTCAAATAAGGGCAAGCAAGAAATATTAGAGGTCACTGTTTGAAAAAACAACACTAAAGTAGTTTATAAAAAATGTAAAATAGATGAATATCGTACACGTTAACCTGTTGTGGAGTTTAAAGTAAGAAGTTAAATAATTTAACTATTTTTGTAATATACGCGAGGTTTGACCTTATTGATGTTCAAGATCATACTCTCCAGCAAGTGGGTTAAGTATATAATTAAATGATAGAAAAGACAAGATAATATTATAACTATCACGCATTACAACATGTAAACCAGTGTACGAGTTTGATACAACATTGATAAAGCCAATCTTCTATTTGTTACTCAGGTACTGTCATAGAAATTGTTTGTTTAACCAAGTAAATACATTTTTGCTAAAATAACTCTATTTTTATTTCGCCAGCATGATCAAATGCAACATAAAACCATGCAAGGAGAGCCTAGCCCACAACTGGGACATGTAGGTGCGTATAAATTCAGGCAGGAAGGAACGTCGTACCATACTTTACCGTGAATTTAAAAAAAAAATTTAGACTTTAAACACTGCTGCTCTGTTGACCTTTTTTTTCATATGATATGACGGGACAAACAAGTCATGCACCTGAGGGTAAGCTAAACGCCTATCCATAACATTTGCAGTGCCACTCAGAACTTTAAATCGCAAAGATCTGAGGGGCACTGTCGCTGAGCCTGTCACCGTGAGATTAAGTTAACGAGTCCCATATGCTTGTAATTTCACCAGCACCCTTACCCTTCAAAACCGGTACGCAGTAATGCTAACATTACTGCTTGGTGGGAGAAATAGGTAAGGTGGCAATACTACCCTGAACGAACTCTTGTGCCACCTGAGCTTCTCCAGGAATCTTAGCATTCTTTTAAGAAGTCTACCTGAGAGTGAAGTCACTCAAGTAGACAGACTCCAAGGTAGGTCGCCTTATAATTTGGTCGCGTTTGAAGCTAACACCATCAATTCTTCCATAGAAACATAAATTGACACGTCTCGTGTGCCTGTAGTTTCACCAGCACCCTTCAACCCTTCAAAACCGCAATGCAATAATGCTGACGTTACTGCTTGGCGGCAGAAATAGTTAAAAGTGGCAGTACTTCCCTGAACGAACTCTTTCACAAGGAACTCTACTGCTACTAAAACCTATGATTTGCGGTGTGCATTTAAAAAAAAACAACGTTAGATGCTTTTGAAATACAAAATATATATATACAATATGTATATATTACAATTTTTTAATGAGTGCGGCGTACAGTAGACCACAACTGATAATTCGTGGACACATGAATAATTTCTGGAATACCAAAATTTGTTACATTCCTGACAACTTTTATTTTGTTTCTTTAACTTATATTTGTTTCTGGAACTATAATCTTTTCAAAAAAAATTACAAAAATAAAGTTCCTAGAAACGTCATTATTTATCATTAGTTTGAGCATATTGGGCGGGCGAATCACGATAAATAGATAACCGAAATATAACACAGCGTTTTCCCCAACAATGTCCAGCGATTCGTCGCAAAACGATAGGAACAATAAAATTCGTCGACAGTACCTACATATCTACACACACGTATGCAGCTATAAAGCGCATGTCTGATAACCAGTGACTAGCAGTGACCGCTCGGCTCTCAAACAAGATTTACGTACTCGCCAACCACGTGTATAAAAAAACGTTCGTATTTTTATTTTTTTAATTTCATACTTCCATTTATATGTACATTAACAGTATTTTTAATAACACGTATCTAATTGTTTTTATTACTTCCGTTTTTTGACAACGTTGTTCGTTTTATTTTCGTTTTCGTTGTTGAAACATAGAAAATTGGACATTAGTGCATATTTTTATCTATTTACGTCTAAGTGATGTAACGGCTATAGTTACTTGACATTACAATATGTAATAACATATGTAGTCACGCGTGCACCGGTTGTAATAATACAACTTGGATAAATAGGTACCTAGCAGTAATTGTTCATCGGTTGCAATTGACACAAAGTAGCTGTTTTATTGCATTGTGGAGTACTTGACGTGTGTGGCGACGGCTTTAAATTAAACAGAATGTTGTTGTTTTATAAAGAGGCCGAAACAATATGGTTTGACCGTATTTTGGCAGATGCTAACAAGATACTAAGGGCGCGTTCCCGTTTTGTCGTGACGAGAGATAGTCGTCCAGTTTAAAGTGTCTTGCCTTGTAAATTTAAATGAAGTTGTTCACGTGTAGTACAATATGGCGATAGACTGTCAAGACAATGGAAAGGGCTAGAACGACAGTCGTCTGACGATAAATAAAACGTCACGTCAAAAATGTGACGACAGGTAATCGCAGCTTCAAACGATTGTATGACGCAAACGACAAGACAGTTTGCCGTGAACCGATAAATTGTCGTCACGATCTAGTGGGAACAGCTAGACACGACAGCCGTTCGACGATAAAAAGAAACGTCCAGGACACAGTCACGACAGGTAGTCGTGATATGGGAACAGGAACAGGCTAGACGCTAGACTGT